GAGAGAGAGAGGGGGGGGGGGGGGGGGGTGGTTGGGCAGAGGAGCAGTCGACATGGCAGGGAGCGCACTAATGTGCAAACTGCCCTTGGACACATGACTCACACTCTGCGCCGCGAGTGGGTCCAATAAATAATTCCATTTGAAAGCTGGAAACCGGGTCCAGCATCACTTATATAAAATACCCACCATGCGCTTTCCTTCGTTATGGCCAGGGGACCCTGAGATGCCGGCATTGATTACTTCCTCTTTCAGAAGGTGTACACCCGTCAGCCCCCGGTTCCACCTTTGGCCCTGAACAGCACTGCCTAGAAAGAATCTGAGATTCCCAAGCCTTGGTAGACACTATACCTTTTCTATTATATAAACCCTCTCAAGCTGCCAGAGCGAGCATCCTGCCAAGAATTGCGATATAGAAGCTAGGTTTATGCGATATCTCCATCCAGGTTCTCGATCTCTTGCTCCTGTCCTTCTGAAAAAGAATTCCCAGGGGCGAGGTCCCATGACCAAAGAGGGTTGGATTGGCAGCCTGAATCTGGATGTGTTTCGGAGAGGGGCAGAAAATTGCAATTGATCTGCATTTGTGCATCTTTGCCCAAAACCCATCCAGATTCAGGCGCTTAATCCAATTCTCCTTGCTAGCGGGACCTCTGCCTAGGAGACTCTCTACTCCAAAATTGGAAACAAGAAACACATTGCCTTTTATTTCTGCTATTCTTCCTTTTGCAATGAACCCAGACTGGAAGATACTCGCCAGATGTCGAAGTACCGAGTAACTCAACTCAGATCAATGTCTCCAATAATCATGAATGTGATATTTGATACAATGTCTCTTTTCCAGAGGACGATGAGAGGTGAGGGGGGAATAGACAGTTTAGATGGTGGAAGAGATGGTAACATCAATGACCATCAAGAGGAGAGCCCAACATTTCCCACTCCTTCTCCGGGCTTTCCCTCGCCTCCACATCATCAAACAGTATCCAGTAACGAGCCTGACAGTTCCTGATCACATCGAGGTGCCACGTGGCACTGTTCCCTCATGAAGACGATGGAGACAATCAGCAGCGCACAGTATCGACATCAACCTCAGTATCCCGATCCCAATCAATCATCCACAGATCCCGATCTCCCTCCTTGTCGCGTCCAATCAATGTAGACAGCGTGGCCAATGCCACATCAGTAATGAAGACAGGTGGCATGCGCCACATCAGCAATGAAGACAGGTGGCATGTGCCACATCAGCATAGGCTGGCACTCAGCAGAGAAGGCGCCAGCGTGCGGCCTCAGTCCCGCATCGTCATCCACAGTGCCAGCGCTTAGCCGGCATTAAGCCGATGTCGAGCCAGCGTCAAGCCAGCGTGCAGCTCGTCAAGCCAGCGTCAAGGCAGCATAGCAGGACTGAATGTTGACTCCCTGGAGACTGGGCGTTATGTAATGTTTGACGAGGTTGATCGGCCTCAGGTCTCCCACCCACGGTGGCTCACAGCCGAGGGCCTGGATTGCATACAGTGCAGACCTCCACATGGTCCTCATGCTGTCTTGGTACCTGCATACAAACAAGTGTGTGTGTCTGACCGGCAGCCTGGGCTGGGTCCATATTGACTTTGACTGTGGGGCCTCAGGTAGTTGACTGAAGTCAACTGTCGGGCGCTCAGGCCCTGGGCCATTTCGGAGGGGTCTTTTGCCCCTTCGACCTCACGGCCAGAAACCGAGGTCGCGGCCTGCGGGCTCCTTAGCCATTCAACGAGGCATAAGGAACGGGTTATTGCACTTTACATAGCAAAAAAAAATCTTCAAAACTCCTTTGCAGGAGAAAACTTGCCAGCAAGCATCATATGGTGGAGACATAATCATAGCAAACAGCTGTCCTAGCTCAGATCGGTGCACCCATGAACTGCTGAACTACAGACCTCAGTTCAAATCCAGATGGATTCACTTGAGCAAAATAACTCTGAATGAACCTGGGGCGAAGATGATATCTCAAGGCCACCACCGCCCTTCGAAACCACAGAGGGAGAAAAATAAAACCCACTTCACTTCATGTAGAAGATGTAGCAGAATGTGTGAGGCTTTACTCTCGTGGAGGATAAAATGTGCAAGGAAAAACGCAGTACCCTGCAGGACGCTACAGCTCACTCTTCTGCCTCGTCCACACAGAAACAAAAAAAAGAAAGCAGGGAAAAACATCAGAGCAGAACGGAGGAGATAGTGATGAGAAAATTGGAGGAAGAAGTGTTCCACACTTACTTCTAGACTTTGTGACATTCAAATTGTGTTTTGATGGGGACTTTCCCTCCGATATACTCGTAAAATATTTTCATATTTTCTTTTCCCTAGCTCACCTCACGTGCTCTCTCCACTTCCTTCTTAAGTATATCCTGTGCACTTAGCCGAAGCTCCAGCTCCTTCTCCTTCTGAGCAAGCTCAGCATTCTTGTTCTGGAGTCGAATCAACTGGAGAAGATGCAACAACAGAGTCGGCGCATGTGTGCACCAGTCATGGGCACAGAGGGTCACGAGGGTCAGGAATCTTACAACACAACAAAAAAACTGACCAAAGTTGTCACCCGCAAGACCGTTTTCCTAAACAAACACACTTCTGAGCACCATTCCCCGGAATGGACTACGTCAGTCTTTTCTCAGGTGTTCTCTTTTTTTTTTAATAGCAAAAGAAAAAGGTCCTTACCGGCTTGGCTCCATGTAGATTCCGTAGAGCATCAGTCTGGTTCCCGTTGCACCAACACGTCAGAAAATGATACATGCTCAGTTGAGCGATGTATATGGAGCCAAGGATCCGCAAAGTGACGAAAAGGACTCAAATGGACAATGCAGCGTCAGCAAAGCATCAACAAGCAATCTACATCCAGATACATATGAAAATAGCACAATGTAGCGCAGCGGAAGACTCAAAGATATGACCTGACCTATCAGATACTGACGCAACATCCCATCATACACCACACGTGAGAGAGGGAGGAGGGACCGCACACATGGAAGAAAGGTCCCTCCTTGCACACGCACATGGGGGAGATACCACGGATGAACAGATGGGGGAGAGGCGAGACGGAGACGGAGGTGAGGGAGAAGACCAAGATAACGATGGTGAAGTCCAAAAATAGTCTCCCTGCTGAATGTCCAATCAATGTCTGTCGTAAAAATGTTGAATCAGATCCTGGGCCTTATGCCCAATGTAACCGCTGCCTGTAACCTCTCTCTCCCTGTCTCTCTCTGAAATAGAAGAAGAAGAAGAAGAAGAAAGAGGAGGAGGAAGGGGGAGGGATGGAGGGCGAGGGAAGAAGAAGAAGATGATGCCGTCCTCCTCGCTATCTCACCTTCAGGTAAACCGCCAATTACTAACTGTCGCCGCTTGTATCCTCTGTGCTGCAGGTGAGCTGGCGCGAAGACCAGCCATGGCGCCCAGGTAGGATCTCCACCGGCGCAGGTATTGCCTCCGCCTCACACTCCCTACCTACACCTCGACCTCTACCTCCAGCATAGCGCTGTAGCGCTGTCGGGGCAGAAACCCTGACAAAGGTATCTGCAGGGTATTTTTTTATGTCCGACACTGTCCGACCTTTCTTTGAGTTGAGGAACTTGATCGGACACATGTCTGCTAAAGGGAACTACACTTACGACCGAGAGGACTGAAATTTTTGAAAGACCGTCGGTGTGACCGGCCAATTACCGCGTTGCCGTGGCCGCGTGGATGCCCGGCCGTAAAACACTAAATTAAACTTGCGCTACTTAAAATAGAGACAGCCGCGCGATTCATAGCTTGGGGAACTTACAAGGACCACCGCGCGAGGGTGCGCGGCGCGGCTACCGTAAGGGCTGAGCCGTGCAAATCGAGGTCCTGTCGAGGCCGAGCTGGCTGCAGTTGGTAGAGGCCAGGTGCCTGAACGTGGGTTCAGTACCGGACCTTGGACATGGCAGCCTGACCTGGCTGTGAGCTCGGGCCTTTGAGCCGCTGGCCACAGGGCTGGGGGAACCAGCTGGGCACAAGCTCTTTGCAATCAGACTCGTCTTCTTTCTTACTCAGCATGCATGAAAACAGAGGGCAACCACACTGGCAACGAGCACCCACACAAAGCTCAGAGATATCGTGGCCAAGAACACAGTTCAGATTCAACTTGCTTCGAAGGGCTATGGCGCCTGTACGCCCTCACAACACCCTTCCACGCTGTATCCTCAGCAACTATTCACATGCACACTACTCTGGATCTCCCTGGATGTCCCACAAACGCACACTGCTCACTGCAGTACCTCTAACCTATATCAGCTATGGCTGCGTTCTACCTCTACCACTAACTAGCGGCTATGGCCGCTTCGTCTCCCTTACAGCCCACTTCCTCCTTGGGCACCTGCAGACCTCCTTGCACAAGTCGCTCAGGCAGTGCTTCCGCACGGCTCACAGTCTGGATGAATGAATAACTGGACGCTGCCTCTTGATTTATACTTCAGTTGGTCGCTGGTGCAAGGAAGATGATCAATAGCGAACTTCAGCAATCAAACAGCATCATACATATGAGTCCAGATAGTCTTGACCTCGAACCAACAGCAGAATTGCATCACAAGATTCACCAAATAAGAACACACCAAGAGTTCATAATTGACAATGCTGAAATAGTCCCATCATCATCAACGAAGAACCAGAGTTGATATCCTATCTGGCGCTCGGCGCCCAGACTACATGTGGCAGATCCTATCTAGCCTATACTACGAAGCCGAAAGATGACGTCAACAGCATTCCCGAAGTACGAGCATATGGCGACCAATGTCGCACGCTTCCAGCACCAGGTATGTCTCGCGCTACACTCACAACCTCGTTCCCCAACTCACAGATGCCACTAGCACCCAAGGACCACCCTGCGCCTCACCCAGCTTACAGCAGCGCAGCTCGGCTATGGCTGCATGCTCCTTCCCTGCTCGCCCGTGAGAGCGTAGGCGCCAGCCAGCAAATAGCGCAGCAGCGCTTGCGCAGCATGCAGCCAGCACCCAAATGCCGAATGAGGAGGCAGGCCCTTCCCTATATCGAAGTGGCCTGCCTGCGTCCAATCTCAGGAAGCTTCCAGTAGGCCCCGGTAACCTGAGGCCCAGCACGACGAGAGCAGGCCTTGGGCCTGAAGTGGTTGCCTGTGCCCAACTGCCTTCGGCCTGTGTTTGGCCCGGTACCCGTATCCAGCCCAGGGCCTGCTTCACATACATTCACACAGGCGGCCCAGGGCCTGGGTTCCACTCAACCAACTGGCGCTGCGCAACTGCCTGAATTTCCCTGAGTTGCATAGTGGCCAAAAAAAAGGGCCCTGAAGGCCTCGTCGAGCCTGCCTTCACTTAGGGCGGCTGACGGGCTGCAAATTGGGGCCTTATGGGGCTCATAGAGGCACTGGCCTCGCACTGGTCTGCTCCTTTCCACCAGGCCTAGGGTGCACACAGTCCCACATGGTACTTGCTGACTGGACAAGGTGCAACTGGGACTGGGTACCGCTCACTGGACCTGGTAACTCTGCCCACTTGCCCACTTACCCACTTGCCTACAGACTGCTTCTGAGACTCTCGAAGGGGCAGTCCTAGACTCTAGACCTTCCTACTTGCCCTTTCGGTACTGTAGCAGCTACGACTAATGTTAAAACTTCAGACCTACAGCAGCTACGACCATCATAAGCTATGACTCCTACCCTACAGGTAAGCAGCTCGAACCTACTCAACCCTCGTATGGACAACAGCCTTAGACAGACAACTTTAGGGGCAGGTCACGGGTTCAAACCTAGATGGGGCAAACTGTACTGTACACGGGTTAGGGGCAGGTCTACGGATCGAGCCCTGGGATCTGCACCTGCTACCATGAAGGTCAAAACCGTTTCACTCCCGCCGGCCTAAATTTGAGGTCCTCCGAGAATATTCTAGTTCAAGATAGGATATTTACCTTTCCTCTCTCTTTCATAGGCGCAGATTATGTCAGGGGCGGTTTCTAGCAGTTCTGTTCGTGTAAACCAGCGGTCATCCTCTGGCTCTTGATAACCAAATCTGACTTTATTGTAATGACCCGCCAAAAACAAAGACTGAGAACACTGCTGATTTCTGGGATTTGCTGCTGGAATGAATGCCTTGCTGAAATTCCCGCATTCTGCTGTGATTTCCATGTCTGTGTGTGTGCGTGCCTGCTGATTTGCGTGCCTGTCTGAGTGCTTGTCGGTTGTGTGTGTATGATCCGCAAGGCTACTTGTTGGTTGAAGGGCCCCGCAGGGCCGGTACTTACCTGTGGCCGTGACATTGAGGGTTGCAGGGGGGAAAACACTCAAGTAGCGGGGGTAGGCCCGCAACACTTAGAACAGCGGGGAAAAACACTCAAGTAGCAGTTAGGCCGGTACCACTCAAGTAGTGGTAGGGGTGTCGGGTACCGGAGGCCGAGCAGAAGAAGACAAAAGTTGGCATTTTTAGAGGCCCAGTAGCGGTAGGATAGCGGTAGGCCGGTACCAGTCCAAGTAGCCCGGGTCTAGGGCCTGTAGGGAGGATAGCAGAGCCTGCAATGATGTTTCCCTCCGAAAGGGAGGAGGTACCGGTTGCTGGGAGGCCGCTCGGCCTAGGAAGTCACCGCCCAGGAGGCCGATAGGCCGCTATATCTCCAGGAAGAGCAAAGAGCTCTTCCTCATTTGCGGTGTGCAAGGATTGGCGACATGCTGCTGGAGCGCAGCGCTGGACTGAAGCAGCGCTGCTTGGAGGTGAAGGGCCGCTGGAGCTCAGCCTGGCTATGGCGAGCACTCCAGTTTGAGAAGGAGGGAGAAGGGGGCATGGTAGGAGAGTGGCAGGGCACTTACCTGGCTATGGTAGACACCATCTTCATCACCTTGTTGGGCGCTGCATCTGGAAGGCCCCAATCGGGGTAATGCGGCACCAGGGAAGCTCGAGGCAGAATCAGGCATAGCGGACCAAGTCAGCAGCGGCATAGCTGCTTTGAGTGGTCCTTTGGGCATCAGCGCAGCACCATAGCTGCTTGGGATGTCCTTTGGACATCAGTACAGCACCATAGCTGCTTGGGGTAGTCCGCCATAGCCTATGCATGAGAGAGGAGGCTGAAGGAGGGAAGCAATAGCTAAGGTGGACTGGTTGTTGTTGTTGTTGTTGTGAGTTGAGTCGCAGTAAGAGGGAACTTCGGATATTGATTCTGGTTCATCCATTCATTGTTATTATTATTATTGACTTCCTCCTCTGGTCTTTATCTCTTTGCAAGTGCTTTCATTTCTTTCGCAATTGGGTGGCATTGTCTTTCATTGTGAATTTGCACTTGGGAAATGACCAGGATCGTAACAATCGGTATCGGAGCGGACTTACTTGCTGGCAAGAGGTGTTAGTCACCCTAACCCTAATTCCGAATTAGGTTAGGGCTAACCTAATCTCGGATTAGGGTTGGGAAGTTAGGGTTAAGTGGGGCAGCGAGGTATGTGGATGCTGCCCCA